GCACCGCCCCCGCCGCGAAGCCGCCCGTCCTCGCGGGAGCCGCAGCCCGCGCCGCCGCCGCTCGGCTCGCCGCCGCTCGGCTCGCCGTTTGGCTCCGCGGCGCGCATCGCTCCCGTCGCCGCGGTGGGCGGCGGGGCGGAGCTCGATGTCTGCGCCGCCGCCGCCCCGGCCGCCGGCCCCGTTGCGTTTCGCGCAGAGAGTGGCGACGCCGCGGAGAGGGCGGCGGAGGCGTTGGCCGCCGCTGCCTCGACCGAGGTGTGAGCTCGCAGGGACAATCCGCTTCGTTGTGCCGCTCCGAGTCGCCTCTCCCTCCCCGGGCTAGCGTCCGCGCTCCGCGGCCCGAATCTACATGCACGCCGCTTGCCCAACACGCCTCGCGCATGGCCAGTACATGGGTGGCCATCGTTTGGAGATACCACCACGCACGTGGAAGGGGGGCACCCGCGCAGGAGAGCCGGGCGAGAAGCCAGGGGGGAGAGAATATCCACATGGCATGTGCGCACGTCGCGCCCACAGGGGCAGCTGTTTCTAGTTTGTATACGCGTATCGGTCGGTCGTTTCCTTAATCCTTATTATATGTGCTCTCTCTGCACGCCGGTGCAGAGACGTTCTGTGAAGACCAGCGCACAGCGCCATAGGACGTGTTTTCTTCTCAATAACAAGGCTGTGAACCGCTCTGTGCGCTGAAGACGAGACACGTTTCACATACGAGAGCTGCAGCCTGGGAGCTGTGGCGCTGGCGGCACGGCTGCGCTCCTGCAGCGCTCCTGTGGGGGGTGCGTCTGGCCGCGACGCTGCCACCGACCGTAGGGAGCGGGGGCGACGCGATGCGCGCTGTGTGGCTGATTCTACTGCTATGGCTGCGAAATAGAGAGGCTATGGGGCAAGTGTCAAGTGTGGTCAGGGAGGTGGCTCTAGAGCCGTACGCCAGTGGCAGTGCGAGCGCGGTTGTGCAGTGCGGGGCGCGAGGGCGTTCCTCCACGCGCATCATTGGGCGATGCGGTACTTCTTGGGGACGCCGTCCACCATGAAGGTGACTTCTGTCAGAGCAGGGTCCTTCCATGGGTCGTACGCACTCCCTCCCGCGGCGGTGGGCGCGGCAGCCGCTGGAGGCGCATAGGCTGGCGGTGCAGCCGGGGGGGGCGGCGGATCCGCCGGCCAGGGCGCTGAGTCTCGAGTGGCCTCGCCGGCCGCCGCCGCGCCGCCGCCGCCGGCCTCCGAGCGCTTTGCGAGGTACTCAGCGAAGGATTCCGCCTTGTGGATCGCCTGCTGCTTGCCCTGTGGGTCGTAGACGGTGGGGGCGTGGTCGCGGGTTGCCTCGCCGCCGCCAAAGCCTACGGCGGGAAGGGGACGCTTCCCTGCCGAGGCGCGACGTGGCCGTGCTGCATTGCGCGTCTGTGGCTCTTGCGCATTGCATTGCGGTGGGAGCACACCTTTCCCGCTGTTCATCGTGGCTCCGCTTGCCCTGGCTGTCGCAACACAGCTCCTCGCACCCTGGGTCGCAGCGAGACGAAGTCTTGCCACGCCGGCCAGACCGAGTACCAGGAAGAAGAATCTCATCCCGCACGTGCCACTCGTTTCTCGCGCCCTGGCCGTGTGTCCCGGAGCGTGCAAGAAAGAGAATTCTCCTCGAGCCCTCGGCCGAGTCGGATTGATGGAACACATCACTCGTTGGTCCCTGGTGAGAGCTGACGCGCGTTGGACGGCGTTGCACGGCGCGGGGGCGATTAGCGGCGCTCACCGCGCGACGCTCAGCACCCTCCCTCCGGACTCCGGGTCCGCCAGTTGATTGCGCCTACTTTCATGAGCGTCGACACATGGAGGGCGGCGGCAAGGGCGGTGGCAAGGGTGGTGGCCGTGGCGCACCAGACCCGCTTTGCGCCGCCGCCCTCAACGCCCGATACTCGGTTAGAGCCGGCGGAGCGACGGCGGCAAAGGTGCGGCCGCCGGCGACCTCATACGGTGTCGAGCGCCGTAGAGACGGCCCCGAGAGCCGCCGCCAGGTGTGCCACGACCGCCGCCGCGAGGCTCGTGGCGATGGATGCGCCAGACCCGCTTTGCGCCGCCGCCCTCAACGCCCGATACTCGATCAGAGCCGGCGGAGCGACGGCGGCGGAGACACGGAGTTGCGGCCGCCGGCGACCTCACACGGCGTCGAGCGCCGTAGAGACGGCCTCGAGAGCCGCCACCAGGTGTGCCACGACCGCGGCCGCGAGGCTCGTGGCGATGGATGCGCCAGACCCGCTTTGCGCCGCCGCTTTCAACGCCCGATACTCGATCAGAGCCGGCGGAGCGACGGCGGCAGAGTTGCGGCCGCCGGCGACCTTCCCCTCGACCACGCCGCCGACCCGTCGACAAGCACACGCGGACTGCCATCGAGAAGAAGGAGAAGGAGCGCGGCGCATCCGGAGCCCGCGGGCGCGGCGTGGGCGGGCGCGGGCGCGGGCGGGCGCGCGGGAACCCCGCCAGCGGAGGCGACACAATGCCTCTGGCGGCTCTGCAGGCGGCGCGCGGCGCGCCCCTCGCCGGTCTCCCGCACGCTCCTGAGGGCCGAGAGGGCCGAGAGGCGGGGTTGGTGACCCGGGGGCATGGGCGGTGCGGCCCGCGCCGCGCGCGGGCGCGTGGCAGCCCGTGAGTGCCGAGATCGGGTCTGTGCTTCGACGTAGCATGGGCCCCCGGAGGCCATCTACAGCAGCGGCGAAGTGAGCGTGTTTGTGGTGTTGGTGTGACGTCTGAGCTTGGATCTGTGACTAAAGCCGCTTACCACTGATGGATCCCCACCCGAATAACACACAGTGAGCGCCCCAGCACTTCACTACGCCCTCCGCGCGCAATCGCTAGTGGTGCTTTGTGGCAGCACATTGTGCTTTGTGGCAGCACGGGTGCGGTGCCCGAGACCGGTCGCCGTCCCAAACTGTCACTCCCCTCTCTCCCGGCCGGGGTGGGGCGCGCGCGGGGGCGGCGGGTGTGCGGCGAGTGTGCGGGATGTCTGTGGGCCCGAGAGCGATATGCCATGTCCGCCTTGCGTTGTTTCATAACATCGAAGGCTAAGCTCAAAATAAAAAAGAAACAAGGGCATCCACCACAGACATGACCTCCGAGAGCTCTGCGTCGCCCTCGCCGGACCAGCAGCGCAAGCAGGAGAAGCGCGAGCGCAAGCGAGAAAAGAAGGAGAAGAAGCGCGAGCGCAAGAGGGAGAAGAAGCGCCGGCGCGAGCGCCCGCGCGCAGAGGCGCCGCTCGAGGAGGCGACGGCGGACGTTGCAGGGCGCGAGTTCTGTAGCGCGCTGCGGCTGGGCCACGCCGCGGAGGTCGCGGCGCTGCTGCAGTCGCGGCCGGGCCTGCTCCGGATGCGGATTTGCCTGCCGGGCGAGAGCGAGCTGGTGCGGCTGCTCGCGCCGGCGACGGTGTGGTCGGTGGTGCACGAGGCGGTATTTCGCTGCACCACCACGGGGGAGCGGATGGGTACCACTGCGCTCGCGCGCCTCTCCGAGCGCGGCGCTTTGAGCCTGCAGATCGCACAGCCCGCCACGAGTCGCGTCTCTTCACGGGCAGAGTTGTCGACAGGCGCCGTCGGCGTGCTCGCCTCGGTCCTCCGCAGCTGCGACGACCAGAGCCTCGATGCCTCCCGCCTCGTGCCGACAGACGCCGACGACGCCGCCGACGCCGACGCCGACGTCATCGACGGCCAGTCCCTCAGCGCACACGACGCCGTTCCGCCAAAGCGACGTCGCGCGTCCGTTTCCTCCTCCTCCTCCGCCGCCGCCGCCGCTGCCGCCGCTGCTGCCGGCGGGAGGGCGTCGCTCGACGCGCCTCCGGCGGACTGGCTCGACTCGAGGCTCGACGATTCGCGCGCCGCGCCGCCTCCTCCCAACCAGCGGGCGAGGGTGGTGGAGGAGGCGCCGCTGCACGTGGCCGCCTGGCCGGGCGGCGGTTTTATTTCTCGGCGGATTTGTTCTCTTTTTTCTAGGCGCCGCTGCACGTGGCCGCCTGGCGGGGCAGTCAGCCGGCGGTCGAGATGCTGCTCATCGCAGGCGCAGACCTGCTCGCCCCCTCCGCCGCCTCGGGCCTGCTCCCGGTCCACGTCGCCTGCGACCCCCGCTCGCCCGCCTACCAGCAGGTCCATATCTCCCCATATCTCCCCACATCTCGCTCGCCCGCCTACCAGCAGGTCCATATCTCCCCACATCTCCCCACATCTCGCTCGCCCGCCTACCAGCAGGTCCATATCTCCCCACATCTCCCCACATCTCGCTCGCCCGCCTACCAGCAGGTCCATATCTCCCCACATCTCCCCATATCTCCCCACATCTCGCTCGCCCGCCTACCAGCAGGATCCCCTGTTCACTCTCACTGGTGAAGGAGGGACGAGGGCTCATTGTTCATCGCTCGCCCGCGTGCCGAAAGGGCGACGGGACCTTCCTGCCTTGGCTGCTCCGCAAGATGGGCGAGGTGTGGGGAGATGTGGGGAGATATGGGGAGATGGCTGCTCCGCAAGATGGGCGAGATGGGCGAGGTCGTCGCACCACCCGAGATGACCTGAGATGGCCCGAGATGGACCCGAGAGGGCCCGAGAGGGCCCGAGAGGGCCCGAGAGGACCCGAGAGGACCCGAGAGGACCCGAGAGGACCCGAGAGGACCCGAGGTGGGCGCGCCCCGCCCTTGCCTCCGCCACCCTCGTGCACGCGTGTGTGCGGGGGCATCCACCTCACCTCGCCCCACCTTTAGGCGGACGCGGGCGGCGCCGGTCCGTCCGACGTGGCTGCGCGGCTGCGAGCGGACGTGCCAGCCGCGTTTTGGAGCCGCGGCTGCGACCCGGCACCGCTGGGCATCGCGCCGCCGCCCAGCTCGTACAGCGAGAGGGTGGCTCGGCGGCTGGCGTCGTACCGCGACCTGGATAACCCACTCGGGGAGGGGGAGTACGACTACTAGGGGCGTAGACAGGGATGCCTAAGCTCTCGTGTATGTGTGTGTGTGTCTGTCTGTCTCTTGTGTTGTCTAGGTCTGTCTCTTTCTGAGGTTGTCTGGGTGTCTCTCAGTGAGTTATCTGAGTTGTCGCTCGGGTTGCACATGCAGTCCCTCAGCATCAGCCTCTCGGCGGCAGCCCCAGTTCTTCGTAATCGTATCTCAAGATCTGCAGACCCTTCCTCAAGGAGGAGTACAGTACGGCTCTAGGTCTAGGTGCCGTGTAACCTAACACGAAGGAGTTCTCTAGTATCTATAGCCGAGACTGCGCCGATCATCTGCGAGACGCCGAGAGAAGCGCAAACAGCGAGTTCCTGCCGGGCTGCCCCTTGAGCCTTGTCGCGCCCGGCGCTCGTCCGGATCCTCTCTACCTCTTCGACGGCATGGCCTCTGCGCAGGAGAGCCGGAGACAGTGCACCTGCCGCGACGGTGTGACCATCGATGCGGGTTGCTGCCCGGCGGCATCGGGAACGTGCACTCCTTGCACGTGCCCCACTACAGCCCCTTACTTCATGTGCGTCATTGGCAATGCCGACGACATCGACGACATCGAACTTTGTATCTGCGATTCGACGTCACGGCAGACGGGTCAGACGACCTCGACGACGGCTTGGCATTTGGGGTCGCGGGCCGAGGCACCACCAACTGCTTCGCAACGCCCGACTGCTGCCCTCGTCCCGGCCTCCGACGACGACGGTGCGCCCATCCTCCACACCCCTCGCACTACCCTATGACGACGATGACGCGGTACACCACCGGAGTCCACATGGCTCCACGCCTCATTCTGCTGGAGGCGGACGGCACCCGCGCGGCACTTGAGCTGGACGAGCAGCTGCCGCTCCTACGTCTGATCGAAGAAGCTGAAGTGATGCTGGAGTTGGAGCCACTCGAGGGCAGCCTTCAGTCACGGCTTGGTGCCATCGTTCCGAGACCTGCTGGCCAACGTCCCGTACTCCCGCTCAGCTCTCGCTCCAGCAGCCTCAGGGTCCGCGTAGCGCGTTATGGGTGCGTTGCTTCTTGAGCACTTGAGCACTTGATAGGGCCGATTCCGCATGGTACGGGACCCCTCGATCGTCTCGCCCTCCCTCACTGGTGTGTTCATTGGGGGGGGTCATAACAAACACGGTACAGGATCGAGGTGCACGCTGCCGAGGCAGTGTCGTCCCCCCTCTCCCCGACGGCGATGGCGGTGTGACCGATCGAGCTACAAGAGGAGCTTGTTCAGCAGGATCCGGGATAGTCAGATGCACTACCTCACTGGGCCTGAGACCATCCGCGACAGCATCCCGTCACCGTCTCGGATTTATGTGGGGTCGAACCACTCCGGGATGGGCAAGCCCATCACTTCACAAAATTTTGTTTGTTAAATTTTTTCTTGAACAGTGTCGGTTGATAGCTGGGTAGCGGGGGGACCCGCCGGAGACTGGTTACTGATAAAAACGAGGGTTTTGTTTGTCGTGCGGGCGCAATTCTTTTTTTGAGAGCGCCTTCGTCTTTTGGCGCCGGCGGGCGCTCTGAGAGGGCGCGCCAAGAAATCACAAGATGAGCGCGCGGGCGGGAGAGATTACTCTAGAGTCTCCACACACTCGCCGTCCGCAACTGACTCGCCCCAGTCGTGCAGCGCGTCCGCATCCAAAGGGTGAGCCCAGCCAGCCCACCTCGGCGTTAAATTCTTTTCGCTTTGCTTTAGTGTCTGTCCAGCGTCCATACCGCGTTGGTGTCCAGTCCGAGCCTGGCTGTTCTTCACCTTCCTACATACATACATGCCAGTGCGGCCAGTCCCGTCCGTTGTTGTGCGAGGCCGCATTTTCTTGTTCGATCATTTTCAGAAAGAAAGAAAACAGACAAGCCAAGGGAAGGAGGGACATTTTCATCGCCGCGAATTCTCTCAGGATTTCTTTTTGGTACTCTCCCTAAAGCCTAATGAACTATTCAAGTCTTGAATCTTCTTGAATAGTGTGGGGGGTCTCCTATTCAGACCTGAATGGGAGAGCTGCGGGCCCAATCAGCTCATTCAGTTCTAATCAAGACACTCCTTGATTCTTCGTATCTTAGCCAAGATAAGAATTTACGGACAACTCTCTCTCTCACAGCAGACAGGCTCGACACAGGCGCGGACGGCAAAGCGCACACTAAGTCCACCCGCACGGCCGAACACGGACCGCGAGACCGCTGACACCGCAAGCTAGACGGTTTGCTACCTATACGGATTGCTGCCCCGCCGATGTCTCGTGGCCGACGTCGCCACCGTCGTCGTCGCCGCCGCCGCCGCGGACCGTCCGTTCGAAGAGGCCGCCAACGGCGCGGCAGACGAGGCTCATCCAACGGCGGAGGTCCACCCTTGCCCGGGCCGGAGTCGCGCCGAGGCCCTTAGCCAAGAGCACCAGCGACACCTACGGAGGGGCTCGCGGGCGTCACGCGGGGGAAATCGGCGCGGAGAACGCCCTCCGCCGCCGCGCGCCTCGTGGTGGCGCCCCGGGTAGCACGATTTCGCCAGGTCCTTGTAGAGGCCTCCGGCGATGAGCTCCTGCGGTGCATTGGAAGGAGAGGTGGAGGGCATGGGTACGGCGGGATGGCCGCGCCTCTTAGAGAGTCGCTCTCCTGCGGCGTGGTTTCAAAGAAGCGCGAGAAGGGCACGCCGCCCTTTTCGGGGTCGTTCTCGTGCGCCATCACGATCGGCAGCCTGTCCTCGCGCGCCTGCCTGACCTGCCCTGCCAGCCGCTCGTCGCTGACGAAGGTATCCTCGTTGAGGTAGAGCAGCATGTGGGTCGCGTCACCAGCACGGCGCGGCGCCGAGCGGCGCATGATACTGGAGAAGCGGCCCGAAGCCCGGGATGCGACAGAGCCGCGGTCCTCGGCCGTGGAGACGGTGAGGCCGGCGAAGGCGGCGGCGAGCTCGTTGGCCAGATCCACCGACCCCGCGTTGGCCGGCGAGGCCCAGAGCGTCACGGGCTTCGCAAGGGCGAACGAGTGGATGCGCGGCTCACCCGGCACGTAGAGGCCGACGGCGTCCTGCCCGACGTAGTCGGGCGAGCAGAGGAGCACCGCCTGTGGGTGTGCAAAGCGGGAACGTCCAGATACTGGAGGGAGAGGGGCGCGGTGTATGAACTAACGGCGCCTCGACGATGGTCTTCAGCGAGACGCGCTGGAACTCCTCGATGCGATACCACGTCGTCTGCGTCCGGCCCTGGTCAAAGATGTCCGACTGCAGTTCGTCGGGGCATTCGTCGCGCAGCGCCTGCAGCGTCCCGCCGCCCTTGGCCGGGTCCGCTTCTTGCACGAGGACGAGCGGCTTGCTCTGCTCGAGCGTCGCGTGGATCTCTCGGAGGCAGTTCTGGTGGCGCGCACGGACAAGCGAAGGGTGAGCCGCGGGGAGTATCGAGGGGGGGCTCGGCGGCTCGCGCTGCTTTGGGGAGGCGTGGCCGGGCGGCGTGCGAGCGCCGGTGAGCGGAAGTAGCCCTGCGAGAGGAAGAAGAGAATCATTTGCGTGCGCCGGATGTACTCCTCGAGCGCCCCGATGTCTTTGAGATCATCGACCTACAGACGAGAGTACAGGACGCGCAGTCAGAGGCGCTGTCTTCCTGTACGCGGCGCGATGAACATGCGTGCGCGCGTCGAGAAAGACTTTGATGCCTGGCAGCAGCAGCTGCAGCTCGCTCTTGATGACTCCGACGGTGTCTTGACCAGTCGACCTATTCAGGGCCAGGGGTGCCTCATGCGCGGTTCGGACTCTTCCCTCCGCAGCTGTGATTCACCAAATGTGCGAGAGGAAGAGGTGCCAGGCGAGGCCCCGCGCGAGGGTGAGTTCGGGCGGCTGCTTGGTGGAGACAAGGCGGATCGTTGGGACCTTGGCGGTGCGGCGGGCGGCGACGACGGCGCCGGCGAGGGAGACCAAGAGCGCGACTCCGGCGAGGCCGATCATCGTGCTGACGATCGGGTTAAGCTTGCTGAAACCGAATACGGCAGAGGCATCATCGGTTCCGGAGCGCTCCACGATGCGGAGGAAGATGGTGGTCCAATTGGCGCCGAGGAAGAAAAGGAGGAGGATGAGGCTCATTGCGACGGCGAGGACAGAATCCTCGACACGCTTGTACGGCTTGGTGGCGGCGACGAGCGCGACATAGCAGGAGCAGATGAGCGTTGCCACCACGAGCCGAAGCAAGGCGTTCTCCTCCGGGATCAGCAGCACGAATCCCGTCAGCACGAGCTTGCGCGCCAGCTCCAACGCCTCCCACCAGTAAAAGGTCGTTTTGTACTCCCGATGTAGGAAGGCGGTCGCTCGCGTCAGCGCCGTCGGCGTCTTGGCCTGCAGCGGCTTGTGGCAAGCGAAGAGGAGCGCCGTGAACAGGACCAGCGAACCGACGGGCCATACGACGATGAAACCGATGGCGAGGTCGGTGATAGACTTGTGATCCTCGGTGTAGCACTCGACGCTCGCGTCCAGCCGCATGTAGAAGACCTGCCGCAGCGACTTGCCGGGCGGAGAGATGGTGTAGGCCTATCAGCAGCAGACCGCGAGGACTGAGGGTGGTGTGTGTGCGACGGCGGTCATCAGCTGGAGGCGCCTGACAACTCCACGCGCGGAAGATGGAGGCGCTGATGGAAGGCACAAAGCAGAAGACGAGCACGAGACCGGCCGGCGTGAGGTCGAGGAGGCCGAGGGCCGCCAGTGCGTACCACGGCCTCGCGTGCGGCGCCGGGGCGGCGCGCCAGGGGTGGAGCCGCAGGCTTACTCCCGCGATCATTAGCAGCGCTATGAGGGCGACGGGCGAGAGAGCGATGGCGAGCAGCCGCAAACCGTAGCCGAGGCACTGCTGTGGCAAGAAAAGTCCCGACCAGTCGATGGAGACGGCGTCGGCTACTGCGTCGGTCCAGCCAGTGTACTCTGGAGGCAGACGCGTGGAGTAGGTGGTGGACAAGACGGTGACAATCTGGTAGAAGCCAAATAGTATCTTGGTCTTGGCCGTGAGGCCGATCGCGATGCACCAGTAGACGGCACGGTCCGCGAGGCGAAGCAGACGGCCGATGCAGCGCTTCTCCCGCCACTCTGTCATGCTGTAGCAATACGCCGCGAGGCCGCACGCGGCGCAGAGGCCGAAGACGACAGCGGCGATGCCACCCGCCGCCGCGCCGCGCGGAGCGCACTCCTTGCACGCGTCGCCGTCGGCGAGGTAGTGATTATCCGCGACGCAGAGCTGGCACTCGGGGCCGTTGAAGTCCAAAGCGCAGTACGCGTCCGAGCCTGCCTCCACCGTCCTCCGGCGGCGAGAGGCCTCTCCCGGCTCGCTGCCGGCGCATCGCGTCTTTCCGGCGCTGTCATTGCCACCAAAGCGGCGGCACTCTGTCAGCACGGCGGAGGAGGGGCGCGCGCGCCAGAAGCCGCGCGGGAGGACGAGGGTCTCGAGGGTGGTATTGTCCGGGCAGGTAGCGTTCGTCGGGCAGGGCTTGCAGTACTCGGTTGGGGACCTGAAGATGTCGGTCGGGTCGGCAGTCGCGTTCCGCAGGTAGTAGCCATCCATGCAAAACGAGCAGGTGACGCTGCCGTTGACCGAGCTGAGGGGGTGAGGGCACGGGACGCAAAGGCCCTGGCCAACGTTGGCGGCGTAACGGCCAGCCTCGCACTCGTCGCACGCGTCGCTGCCTGCCTTCGACGAGGTGCCGGGAGGGCAGGGCTCGCACTTGGTCTGCCCCTCCTTGACGGCGAAGGTGCCAGGCGAGCACGGCGTCGGATCGATGCTGCCCGTGGAGCAGGCGCTGCCGGCGGGACAGGCCTTGCACTCGCCCGCGTCGGCGAGGTCGGTCGCGTTCGCGTAAGTGCCGGAAACGCAGGGAAGCGCCGCCGCCGCGCCAACAGCGCAGTAGTGACCCGGCAAACACGCCTTGCACTCCGTCTTGCCGGTCTCGTCCTGGTACATGCCGCCGGCGCAGGGCGTGCACTCGCCCTGCCCGTACGCGTCCGTGTACGACCCCTTGGCGCACACCGACTGCTCGGTGGAGCCGGCGGCGGCGAAGTGGCCCGGAACGGCGTCGGTGCACTCGCTCGCGGCGGTGAGGTTTGTGGCGTTCGAGTACGACCCGGCGGAGCAAGCAAGGGGGGCGTCCGCGGTCCCTCTCGGGCAATAGCGGCCAGCAACGCAGGGCAGCGGCTCATAGGTCGCCTCTGTGGGGCATTGGGAGCCAGCGGGGCAGCTGCCAGCGCAGTTGCTGCTCGACTGGTACTTTGGGTCGGCCGAGCCGAGGAGGCCGGCGGCGCAGGCGAAGGGGAAGTCCTGCTCGACGGGCAGCAGCGGCAGCTGGTAGAGGCTCTTGCCGAGGAGGGAGGCGTCGCCTTTCCAGCGCTCCTCGGGGTCCCAGTTGCACGGCTGCACCTTGGTGGCTGGCTGGCAGTACCACGGCGGCTGGCCAATGTCAGTGTCGTTGACGACAGTGAGCGCGCAATTGTCGCGGTGCTTGAGGCAATCCTCCTGCTCGTTCGAGTTCTGTCGATATGCGCACGCCTCCCGGTACACCTCGCAGCGCGCGTTTGGCAGCCAGCGGCCGGCCGGGGCGGGGAGGGTGTAGGAGACCTCGCCAGCGAGAAGGAAGATGGAGCTGCCCTGACCCTCTGGTGCAGAGCAGCCGCTGATGAGGCTACTATCGCTCAGGGAGGTGCTCCCGCCCGCCGAGTAGAGGCCGCCACCAGACAGAGCAGAGCAGCCGCTGATGAGGGTGCCGTCGCTCAGGGAGGTGCGCCCACCCGCCGAGTAAAGGCCGCCGCCAGACTCTGTGGCGATGCAGTTGGAGATGGTAGAGCGGGCCAGGGTGGCTGAGCCCGACTCCACGTAAACTGCTCCGCCTCGCCTGGCACGGCAGTTGGAGATGGTGCAGTCGGTCACGTTGAGGTCGGAGTCCCACGTGTATGTCGCTCCGCCGTCCTGCCAGGGGAGGCGCGTGAGGCCTTGAGGGGCCGCAGGCACGATGGGAGGCGCGCGAGCGGCGGTGACTCCTTGCCTTGTCTTGAGCCTACTCACCTCTTCTTGGCGGTGTGGCGCTGCAAGGAAGCGGCTAGCTCTACGCGGCGCACCTCGCCAGCCGAGCAGCCCGTCACCTTCGAGCTGGTTATCGAGACCGCACCGCTGTCATCCGCGTAGACGACGCCGCCTTTTCCGTGGACGATGCTGCCCTCCGCGTAGACGACGCCGCCGTACTGCGGTTGCGAGGAGAGAGCGGGGTGAGGCAGCCGTGTCCCTCTCTATCTCTCGCCTCGCTGCCGCGCGGCACTGCAGGCGGCTAGGCTCTACACGGCGCACCTCGCCAGCCGAGCAGTTCGTCACGGTCGAGCCGATTATTGAGACCGCACCGATTCTCACCGCGTAGACGACGCCGCCGTTCTGCGGTTTCGAGGAGAGAGCGTGGTGAGGCAGCCGTGGCCCTCTCTACCGCTCGACCCGCTGCCGTGCGGCGCTGCAGGGGTAAGGCTAGCTCTACGCGGCGCACCCGAGCAGAGCAGCCCGTCACGTGCGAGCCGATCAGCGAGACCGCACCGCTGTGAGACGCGTAGACGACGCCGGCGAACTGTGATTGCAAGGAGAGAGTGGGATGAGGCCAGCCGTGTCCCTCTCTATCTCTCGCCCCGCTGCCGTGGGGCGTTGCTGGAGTGCGGCTAGCTCTGCGAGGCGCACCTCGCCAGCTGAGCAGCCAGTCACGGCCGAACCGATTAGCGAGACCGCACCGCTTTCCGTCGAGTAGATGACGCCGCCGAACTGCGGTTGCGAGGAGAGAGCGGGGTGAGGCAGCCGTGGCCCTCTCCATCTCACTCTCGCCCTGCTGCTGTCCGGCACTGCTCTACGCGGCGCACATAGCGAGCAGCAGAGCAGCTCGTCACGTTCGATCCGGTTAACGAGACCGCACCGCTTCCCATCGAATTATAGACGACGCCGCCGGACTGCGGTTGCGAGGAGAGAGCGGGGTGAGGTAGGCGAGGCCCTCACTATCTCTCGCTGCCGAGAAGCGCTGCTGGGCGGCCGCTGGCTCTACGCGGCGCACCCACTGAGCCGAACAGCCCGTCACGTCTGAGTCGATTATCGAGACCGCGCCGCTGCCCTCCGCGTAGACGACGCCGCCGTACTGCGGTTGCGAGGAGGAACGGGGTGAGGCAGCCGTGGCCCTCTCCATCTCACGCCCCGCTCGGCGCTGCTTGAGGCGGCTAGCTCTACGTGGCGCACAACGTCAGCCGAGCAGCTCGTCACGGTCGAGCCGATTATCGAGACCGCACCGCTCTTATGCGCGTAGACGACGCCGCCGTACTGCGGTTGCGAGAAGAGAGCGGGGTGAGGCAGCCGTGGCTCTCTCTATCTCTCGCCCCACTGCCGTGCGGCGTTGCAGGGATGCGGCTAGCTCTACGCGGCGCACTTTAGCAGAGCTGTTTCTCACATCCGAGCCGATAATCGAGACCGCACCGCTGTTCTGATACACCCAGACGAGGCCGCCCTCCTGCGATTGCAAGGAAAGAGGGGGGGGGGGGGGGGGGGAAGCCATGTCACTCTCTATCTCTCTCCCCGCTGCCGTGCGGCGCTGCAGGGAGGCGGCTAGCTCTACGCGGCGCACAGAAGCAGAGCAGCCCGACACCTTCGAGCTGATTATCGAGACCGCACCGCTGTCCCACGCGGCGACGACGCCGCCGTGCTGCGGTTGCGAGGAGAGAGCGGGGTGAGACAGACGTGCCCTCTATTTCTCGCCCCGCTGCCGAGCGGCACTGCTGGAGGCGGCTAGCTCTACGCGGCGCACATTGTTGGTGTAAAGGTTCGCCCTCCCGTTGACGAGGGTCAGCCCCCGCAGGGTGAGGCTGCAGCCGCCCTCGAGGGAAAAGAGCCCGGTCAATCCCTGACCGTCGAGCGTCGCGCCCTCGCCGCTGCTGGCGATGGCCACCTTGATGTTGGAGGTGCACTCGATCGGGTATTTCAGTTTGAAGTCCACACTGGGCGGCAGGTAGATTGAGATGTTGGCAGCAGCCCCAACAATCAGGGAGCGGAGATCGTCCTCGCTCGCCGCGGCGAAATCAAAGCCGGGGACGGCCGGCGGTCGTGGGGGAGCGGACGGGGGGGGCGGTCGCGATGGCGGTGGCGGCGGTGATGGGATCTGATATTCAGCCGCAAGCCGAACGTCGCCGAAGTCGCCATTATGGCCCCCAACTACCACCCAATACTGCTCGCCTTCGGTGAGCTGCAGTCCTGTGATGCGAGAGCAGACCTCGTTGACGTCCCCGCCGCCGTTGCATGCCACCTGCGTGAGCGTGTCGCAGCTTCCCGTGAAGATGGACAGGTCGGTATCGACGTCTGTGTCAGCCGAGCAGGTATGCAGCTCGAGGGGAAACGTGCGCACGTTGGTGAGGCGCAGCCAGACGACGCTGCCGGTCGCGGTGAAAGATGTTCCTGGGCACTGAGAGCTATTATATGCGCTTGGATCGATTGGGTCCAATTCGAAAAAGGCGGTCCGATCGAAGGGCATGGCGTTCTCGCAGCCACTGCCGGGCGGTGGCGGCGATCGCGGCGACGGCGACAGCGCACTTGATGGGAGCAGCGCGGTGAGAAGCCACGCGCCGCGGCACAACCCCGTCCGGCACCGCACGAGGCGCCCTTTGCTCCTCCGCCCCGAGGCCGCACCGAAGCGCGGCGGCCACCACTCGCACAGCCGCACGCCGCACGCTCCGAGCAGCAGGAGGACGGCCCACAACAGCTGCTGGGCGCGGTCAGGCGCGGAAGAGGGCTCGCGCATGAATGGACAAAAGGGAGTGGGCAGGCCGTTGGAGAGCTCCGCGGCCGGCGGGTCCGCGGACGGCTTGTCGGTCTTGTTGGGTTTGCGCGAGGCAGGCGTTGTGAGAGCGAGCGTCGGGTGTTCGGTCTGGGGTGGCTCGATGAGGATATTGGTGCGGTTGCGCGTGTTGATGAACGGGTCCCCGCGGCCAGCAGGCGGGCGAGCGGCGGCGTTCGAGGGCGTCGCGTCGAGCATGACGGCGTGCAAGAAGGCGGCGGAAATCCTGGGCTCAATCCCCAGGGTGGGCGACGGCTAGCGCATCACACCCTCCTCTCCTTAAAATCCCTGTGTGGTGGCGGCGTGCCGTTCTCCCATCCCTCCCTTGGGTTGTGTGTTTTCTTTCTTTCTTTCTTTAAGGGCACGAAAAATAAAAATCTAAAGCGGGGAGAGAGACCAAATGAGAGGTGTTGCCGAATCGATGATCGAACAGACCGGCAATGATCGGGATCGGGAAGAAAGAAAGAAAGAAACAGCCATGTGTTGTTTTTTTTTCTGCCTTCCCCGCTGCACCTCGATAGAGGCTGCGCCCCGTGTAGGCGAGCGGGGCGCCCTGTGTGTTGCACATGAACGGATCCCTAGCTGTGAACAAGCACAACCTCCTCGAGGCGCTGCGCGGCGCGCTCTCGGCCGACGCGGCTGTGCGCGTGCCGTACGAGGCGGCGCTTGCAGCATGGGAGGCGGCGCCGGGCTACGCGACGGCGCTGCTCAGCGTGTACGAGAGTCCTCCTGCGGGATGCGGCGGCGCGGAGCGGCTGCTCGCAGTGCTCTGCCTCAAGGCGGCGGTCGGCCGCCGCTGGAACGAGCGCCGGTCCGGAGAACCCGCCATCTCGGACGCCGAGAAGGCGGAGGTTCGAGCCCGGCTGCTGCCCGCCACCGACGAGCGCGAGCCCGCGCTGGCGTCGCAGCTTGTGCTGACGGCCGCTACCATCGCCCGGCTGGAGGGCCTCGCCGCCTGGCCCGCGCTGCTCCCCGCCCTCACCGCCTCGTGCACTCGGCCGGCGCCGCTCGACGCGGCGCGAGGGCTGTCTGCCCTGTACCGCGTGGTCAAGCTGCAGGCGTCGCGCCGGCTGCTCGCGCACCGCAAGGCCTTCTTCGCGCTGTCGGAGCAGCTGCACGCCCCGCTGGCCAGCCTGCGCACATCGCATGCCCGCGCGCTGCTCGGACGCGTCCAGCCACTGCTCGGCGGTCCAGCAGACCAGCCGATCGCGGGCAGCGGCGCCGGCGGAGAGGCGTGCGCGCTGCTCGCCATCAAGACGGAGCGGCAGCTGCTGCTGCATGGGTACGCGCGCGCACACGCATCGCAGGCTCGTGGATGCAACCGAGATGCCGCCCAGATGCCTGCGATATACGGAGTCAATGCCATCCATTTGTGATGAGTTTGTCTCAATCGTCCACAAGGCGGCCCTCGCCTCTGTCCGTGATTTCGTGGAGCTCGCCGCCGCCGCCTCCTCCGCCGAGCTTGCGTTGCGCCGCGCTCTTGATGCGTGTCCGCTGGCGCCGACCGCCGGCGCCGCTGCCGCCACGGCGGATGCGTTGCTCACGGCGGACGCGCTGCTCAAAGTTGCCCTGGTCGCCGCAAAGTCACTGGTGGAGGTGCAGGAGGTGCGATTCTCTCCCCCTCTCTCCCCATGCCTCCCCCTCTCTCGCTGGTCGAGGTCCAGGAGGAGCCACCCCCCTCGCCCTCGCCCCGTGCGTCGCCCGTGACGTGTCCCCGACCCGCGCGACATGGCCCCGACGCGCCCACGACACGTCCGGGACATGTCCATGGACATGTCCCCGCAGGTGCAGCCACTCGCCCTCGCCTCGTGCGTCGGGCGCGCGCTCGCCGTAGCCGCCTCAGAGCTAGGCTCGCGCCCCTTCTCCGCCGGGTCCGCCGACGGCTCCGAGAAGCTCCTCGTCCGGCTCACCACCCTCCTCCGCAACGTCGTCTGCTGCGCTAGCTACGCTGCGGCGGCGCCGGGCGCGCACAGGCCGCACGGCCGCCCGCCGGCGCCGGAGGCCGTGGCGTGCGAGGCGGCGAGACCGCTCCCTCCATGAGGGAGAAGAAGAAGTGCGTCGCCAGCAGTGCACTCGCTCTTAGGTGGCCGTCCGCTCGTTCGTCCTCTCGTCCGGCCTCGCGTCGGTCGTCCACTCGCTAGTGACGCGCGCGCTTCCGCTCGGCGAGGCGGGAGATAGCCGAGAGGCAGCCGAGAGGCAGCCGAGAGGCAGCCGAGAGGGCGGCCGAGAGGCAGCCGAGAGGGCGCCGAGAGACAGCCGAGAGACTAGCCGAGAGGCAGCCAAGAGGGAGCCGAGAGGGAGCCGAGGTGCAAGCGAGGTGGCCGAGAGTAGGCGGAGCTGCTCGAGTACGCGGACGACCCGGAGGCGTCGGCGGTGTGAGAGGCGATGTGGCACTAACTCTTTATGTGACGTGTCATCGTTCGCTCCAAGGCGTGGGTGTGGGAGGAGGCGGCCTCGAGGGAGGGGGCGAGTCTGCGCCGCTGCGCCGAGCGGTGCGTCTCTTCGCTCGCCGAGCAAGCCGCAGCTCGCGCGGCGGTGCAAGCGGTGCAACCAAGGCCACTTGTGGTGCAGCATCAGCTGACGTCAATCTGACACAACAGGTGCAAGACTGCGGTGCAACCAAGGCCAGTTGTGGTGCAGCATCAGCTCTGACGTCAATCTGACACAACAGGTGCAAGACTGCGGTGCAACCAAGGCCAGCATCAGTTCTGATCCTTCATGTCACAACAGGTGCAAGCCGCGGTGCACGCCGCGGCCAACGAGGCTGCTGCTGCGGGGCTGGCAAGTTGCGAGGCGGTGCTACGGCTGGACGGCTGCTACGCCGCCCTCGCGATGGTGCACCCATCCCCTACCCCCACGGTACCCGAACCCACCATCCCCTACGGTCAATCTCGGTCAATCTCAGGTTCACGGGCCGGCCGAGGCGGACTCACTCTGCGCCGTCGTCAGCGCTCTGCAGACGCACTGCTCCGCTGCGCCGCCAGACAGTGCCCACTTGCTGCGCCGCCGCGCCGCGTCGCTGCTGGGGCACTCCCTCTCTGCTCCGGAGCTGGTCAAGAGAGCGGCGCACGAGCAGGCAGCCGAGGAGCGCTCCCTGAGCCCTCCACATGCGCACTCCTTAGGTCCGGACATCCGCGCACGAGCAGGCCTCCATCGAGGGCTGGTACACGCTTCTGGGCATGCTGCTGCAGGACCCGCATCCCGGCGTCTCCCTCACCGCCGCCATCGCGATACGCAGACTCATCGAGGCGTCCGACGCCCGCCCGGCGCACGCCTCCCCTCCGGACCAGCCACTCCTACGTCCTCGCCACCTTTGAATCAGGCCTCCGACGCCGTGCCGCGCACGCCGCCGCTCGACGAGAGTTGCGCGCCGGCGGCGCCGCCTCTCCGCCGTCTCGCGCGAGTGACTCTGGTGCCGAGATGACCCGAGATCACCCGAGATCACCCGAGATCACCCGAGATCACCCGAGATCACCCGAGATCACCCGAGATCACCCGAGATCACCCGAGATCACCCGAGATCACCCGAGATCACCCGAGATCACCCGAGATCACCCAAGCTGCTCCTCGCCCGACGCTCTCTCAGCCCTGGCCTTAAGCTTCGGCTCTTCCGCCCCTGCTCTGAGTGGCTGGAAGCGTCTCGGAGCCGTCCCGGAAGGTGCTCTCATGCCCCGCCATCTCTCGCCATCTCCCGTCCCTGCAGGTGCCCGTGCTTCGCCTCGCCCTGAGCGCGCGCGAGGTGCGAGCCTCGCGCGAGCCTGCTCGCTCTCGGCGCGAGAGATCGGCGCGAGATCACGTCGAGATCGGTCGAGAGTAGGTCCAGTCCCGATGGAGGCTGATCGCCCTCGCCGCGCGGCTCATCTCCCGCGCCTCGCCGCCCCGCGCGGCCGAAGCGGCCGACGAGGACGACTCCGCCTGCGCCGACCGGGCGGCGGCGGTGGCGGGGTGGCTGCGCGCCGCTTGGTCTGCCTCGGACGGGCAGCAGCTGCTGCAGGAGGCTGTGCTCGATTGCGCGGCGGCGGCGCTGCATGCAATCAGCCCCGCGCAGCAGGCCTCGTCGCGACACAGCCCGCGCGCCCTCCCCGCCACCGCCGCGGCAGGCGGCGGCGGCGGCAGCAGCGGCGGCGGCGGCGGCGGCGGCGGCGGCGGCGGCGGCGGCGGCGGCGGCGACGCGTTGCGGCGCGCTTCCCTCGAGCTGGTCGGAGTTGCGACGGCGGCGGATCCTTCGGGAGCGCCGGTGGCGGTTGGCTTGATGAGGCGGCGGTGGCGGTCTGGCGCGAGGCGCTCGCCTCACTGCCCGTTGGCG